TCTATTTTAGGACTTCTTAATAATTTTGATTATATTATTTTATATGGATGTAGAGTTTAATTTTTAAGATTTAAATAATATATTGGCTTTCACTACAAGATTTAAGGGTGTAAAGGGCGATATATGTCATGCCAAAAGTATAAAGAGTTGCTACAATTACCTTTAGTAGTGGCTCAACCGCACCATCTAAAGTGAGAGCCACCTGAGAAGCAAGCTATTACAGCGAGCGGCTGGAGTAGTATGGACCCAAGGAGCAAGGTAGTAGATAAGATAGAAGAATGGGTCTAGATAAGATAGAAGAAAGAGTCAGGCTCTCGGTAGAGCAGACGGTTAGGATAACGAACTTGAAACGCGGAGCCTGAGCGTCCCACAAGCGAGTGGTTAGTGGCAAATAACACCCTAGTTGATGGCATTCCTCTTTGCGGCTAGTACTTGAGGAACCACGGGGCACTCCATATAGAGCAAAAAAAGTCTTAAGGATGAGACGCCCCCACAAGGACCTCAATTCTCATTAGGAGGTCAAACCAAGGACCTATGGAAGTCGGGGCTAGCCCCAAGCCGGAACTAATATGCCATTTGTAATGCTTCGTTGAAACTCTCCCTTCCTTATATCTCTTGATATATGTAACGTCCCAAAAACCATAGTGAAAATTTCCATTTTTAAAGAATGAATAAACCACTTTTCCATAAAAAATAATAATCACCAACACATAGTTTCACAACCATATCATAAAATTAGAATATCAAAACACATTATTTCTCAAAACATATCGACAACTAGATGAGGTATACAATTATGCCTTAGCCTTGCCCCGATACTCAAAATTACTTGAAATATTTAAGTCCACATTTGCAAGACAAATCTTAGTGAGTTCCCCCAACATACCCTACACAACAATACACATACAATGCATGCACACCAGACTTACAACACAGGGTCGGACTGCCTCCTATGCCTACATCCTATGGATAGACTGCTCTCTTGTGCCTACGATATCAATTGGACCGCTCTCATGAGCCTACAGCCAGAGACCGAACACAAACACTAAAGGTAGGTGCAGAACGTATCTAGGTATCCTTTTTCTAGTTAAAAATGATGATATCTTTTGATATTCTAAATATTTTTACAAATATAATTTTAGAAATTAGAATTGATTACATGTTTTATACACTAAACAAATCATATAAATATACTAAACAATCCATATTAAATATCATCGGAATTCATATGTATTATCAAAATAAAAAACAATTATCAATAACCACAAATAATATATAATATAAAATTAGGAAAAATATATTCGTATAAGCAATTACGTTGAGAAAAATGATATACCAAACAATTTCAAATTTATGAGTCGGTCGGTAGAGAAACTTACAAACGTGGGCAAGAACACAAATGAGAAATAAGGTTGTAAGAGGCCGAGAACTAACCCTCGACAAATAATGTGAGGACGGATGTGAGTAGGGAGGGCGAACGTCGTGAGGCGGAGGGTGCAACGCAACATGATTGAGGAGAGATTGATGGCGAGTTGAGGCTGAGAATCAACGGTACATACAATGAGCAGAGAGCCGGAAATGGCCTAGGTCTTCGATGCTGGCAGTTTTTTAATTCTTCACAATCTTCTCCGATTTTACGTTTTTACCAATTTGATTTCACGTCAATTTGAACTTATTTTTATTATTTTTTGCAACTTCTTCTCTGTGAACTACATGATCCACATTGTATATAATTTCTTTGAGAATTTAGTGAAATTTTGCTCCTAAATTCTGGGGTTGAATGATTCTATCAGATCCATTTATAATTTAGTTTTCTTTTTATCCAAATTTTTTTGGATTAATATTACATATTACTTATAAAAAAACAGTTGGAAATATAATATGCTCACCTAAAATATTAGTTGGTTTTGTGAACACTTTCTTCAACTGATGGATTGGTCTAACTAATAGAATAAGAGCCCACTTTGTGAATTCTTCATCCATATAGATATTATAGATAGTAATAAGGCAAAAAAAAAAAAAAAAAAAAAAAAAAAAAAAAAAAAAAAAAAAAACAAAAAACAAAAAACAAAAAACAAAAAAACAAACAGGGGGCCATTGTCACAACTGGCATATTAGGGCTAGGTTTCATATCCATGTACAAGATAGTTTTTTGTGTAACTATGTAACATTACGTGTAGTATAAATCAACGTCATTGCCATCTAAGTTTATACATCCAAAATTTGTGAATTTAGTCGAAACCTCGAAAGCCCAAAACCTAACCCAATAAGCTATGTCTACTCAACTTTGAGCCTTAACCTAAGCTTTCTCGGTCCAAACCTCTTAATGGACCAAGACCTTCCTATTAGCCTCTAATGGGCCGGAAGCCCTTCCAATTGATCTTTTGGGCCGTAAAACCCTTAGTGGGCCTTAGTGGGCTGCAAGATTTTTTCTTAGACGCTAACGGGCCAAATACCTATATTAGGTACTATTTTGGGCTAGAAAACCATCATTGGGCCCTTTTTGGGCCAAAAGCCCTAGCTGACCTTTATATGGGCTACAAACCTGTATTTGGGCCATAGTTGAACCAAAAATCAATATTGGGCCTCCTATTGGGTCGAAAATCCTTCCATTTAATCTCTTTGGGCCAAAAACCTTATGTTTATCATTAATGGGCATCATTTTACTATTGGACCTACTATTAGGCTTCTCCTTAAACTAAAAACCCTTAATAGGCCTAAGGTGTTTTTGGCTACCTATGAAAAACCAAGCCCATTTCCTTCTTCCCTTATATTCGATCGGTTTTTAAAAAAAATGGAATGGTTAACCTAAGCATGCTACCTCAAAATTACACCACATATAACAAGGTGTCTATCCCTCATATTTCTATGCAACTTGTATTAACCAACATACATTATACCTTAATCTCTTCTCCCTCTTCCTCTTTAATCGGCCGAACACCACCACCATCCCCTCTCCATTTTCATTTCCAACTTTCACTTTATCTTATTTCCTCTCTACAATCAACATCTTCACATCCTTTCTCTCTATAATTTGCATGTGAGTGTGTATGTATTCAAAGAAGACTTCATCCAATCTCCACAAACTTGGTAAGTTTTCAACAAACTCCTTAGTTTTGTTACAACTTACACTAAAAATGCTTCTTGCACTCCATTTTCGCATCCATGCTTCTTAGAACCACCTTGACTTCGAAGATCTTTTCAAGGCGCAAGCTAGGACCGAAAGCCTCTTTCATCTTTCTCTACAAACTGAAAAAGCCCCTCAGGTGAGCTTCATACCCCTTGTTTTTTGAGTTTTTCCTTCTTTGGAGGAATACAAGACAAATTGTTGTGTAAATCCTTGGATATTTTCTTGCACATGTATGTGTTATATGATATGCATGTGAAATGTTGTGATTTCATGTTAAAGGTCCATAAACTCGAGATTTTGTACAAGTATCAAGTTGTTGGAGCTTATTTGTCTTAATATGGTTTCATTATCTTGGTGTTTGTCAAAAATGGAAACAAGTTACTTGGTGTAAATGGATTTTCTTGGTTTGTGTTAAAGATCACAAAAATATGTCCAAGAAGATGCTAAAACAAATTTTTGTCATGAAAACTTGAAAAATGGTAAAATATGGATATTTCACTCGAAATGGGCTATTTTCGGCCATAATGGTAAAAATGGGCTATTTTTGACACTTATGGTAAAAATAGACTATTTTTGACACTTGTGGTAAAAATGGGTTATTTTTTACACTTATGGTAAAAATAAAGTATTTTTGACCCTCATGGTAAAAATGGATTATTTTTGACACTTATGGTAAAAATGGGCTATCTTTGATACTTATGGTAAAAATGTGCTATTTTTGATATATATGGTAAAAATGGGATATTTTTGACACTCATGGTAAAAATGGTCTATTTTGACACTTATGGTAAAAATGCCCTAATTATACTAGCTCCAACTTTAGAAATTTATAAAATTAATTTTTATAAATAAATCTATCAAATTAGTGAACTAAACTCATTTCATGACACGAAAGTTGTGTATTATAAACGGTAATCGAAACTATACACTAGTAATATTACGTATAACGTTAAATAATGAGATTCAGTCATTGTGTAAATTCTGTTAAGACTATTTTTGACACTTATGGTATAAATGAGCTATTTTTGAAACTCTTGGTAAAAAATGGACTATTTTGACACTTATGGTAAAAATGCTCTAATTATACTAGTTCCAACTTTATAAATTTATAAAAATAATTTTTATAAATAAATCTATCAAATTGGTGAACTAAACTCATTTCATGACACGAAAGTTGTGTATTATAATCGACAATTGAAACTATACACTAGTAATATTATTTATAACGTTAAATAATGGGATTCAATAATTTTGTAAATTCTGTTAAGACTCTTGTGAAACACTCCTTCACTCGTACCCACCTAGTGTACATCGTAAGTCTTGTAGTTATAACCAGAGTCTCCTGGAGGGAGAGCGGGATATTGTATATTGATTTATACGGGGATGACACCCCACACCTGAGTTGTTCGCTACAGCTAGACACGTCAGTCTAGGGTGACAATTATCTTTAGAAACGACGCCTAAAGAACGTCTAGACAAGTGCTCTCGTCACATTAATATGGTTGTAACGACTCACATAGAGAATAACAATATTCACTACTAGAAAAACAGCCTTTAATGACGCGCAAACAATGACACGCGGTGATTTACGATACGCAAAAGCATACGTCGAAAAAGTCATGTCATCTCTTATAAAATTTGAAGGATAGAAGACACGCTTTTTGTGCGTGCTCTGAAATTAGTGTTAGAAAAGAAAAAAAAAAGAAATACAGAGGGCGCCTATTATAAAGTGTGTGTCATGTAAGTGTGTCGCTTTATATTTTTTTTAATGAAACACGCGTTTTGAGCGGGAAATGAAATCCCCAAAAATTAAAACCCCGCCTATGTGAAGAATTAACCCCCCCCCCCCTCCGCTTCCAGTCAGCAAGAAACTTCCAATCAGCATGAAACAAGCCTAGGGTCTTCTTCTTCCTTTCTCTCTCTCTAACCTAAAACCCATCTTCTTCCTTCTAGCATTTCTCGCCGTTACATCCATTGGCGCCATCGCCACCATCATGCCGCTCTGTCTCCCTCTGTTTCTCAATCCGATGTCGCCGCTATACTTTATTCTTCCGGTACAACCATATTGAGGATCTACGAATTCCCCAAAAATCCTTGTTGAATACATGCCTCTCGAATCAAATCAGGTAGAGGAGGACCTCGAGGTGAACCTATTTCGCATATTATATCCCGTCCCTATTCGTGTCAATAATACCTTCGGTGGTAGTTCTGTTGGTTCTGGCTCCGACGACTTCTATCAGGTTTTTGGTCTAGCATCTTTTAATACTTCATTTGAAATTGCAATCGACACTCGCCTCTTGTATTATTCCCATAATAATTCATGAATGAAATTGATAGGTTGTAACAATGGCTCCTATGGCCCTATTCAACCCTCTATCGTCAGTTCTCCTAAAAAAATTAAAGTCCCCATCCTATCTGGAACCAATAAACGAACAAGAACCTTTCTTCTTCCTTTTCATTGTGTTTTGTTTCTTCTGGATGTCTGGTTAATTTTGATAATTAGGGTTTCCATTTTTTCTCTTAGGTATCTTTATTTTCTCCTATTTCAACGACTGCACAATGATGCAATGCTACAAAGGAACGGAATTTGGGGAGCTAGATCCTCATGTTTTGCAATTGCAGATTCTGCTTTAGGTTATCTCCTCTCCCCACCTCTTTATTTTATAATGAACATCATTTGACTTCACCATAAAATGTCATTTCATTTTCCTTACACAGAGGATATGTGAGTTCATTAGAAGCTGAGAGTTCTATTGGAGTTGTGCTCGTTCCTAGGGTAAATAAAGGTGATCTGGTGCAAACGACAAAAGTAGGAGCCGATTGCTCAGAATTTTGGGACAACGAACGTGAATATAGAAGTACATTTACTGATTTACTCTCCAACATGATTCATAGTCTTGTATATGATCTTATGGCAGCCTTACTTCTGCGTACAGGTCTCATGACTGCTCTCCACTTCTTAATTCATGCTCTCAACCTTTTAATTTGCAGAATTCACAGTTAACATTACACAATTCACATTTCAAATTTTTCTCCCTTTCCTTGTTTCCTACCCCCCCCCCCCCTTGTGTTCTCCTACTTTGCCTTCTACTATAGTGGTTTTTACTGATTCTAGGAAGGTTGTGCAATTTTTGTTTACGCTTTGAGGCTTGTTTCCTTTCAGTAACTTCTTTTACCATCATATATTTAATTTTTTTTGCATTGAGTGTTTCTATTAAGGAATAAACATAATTATTAGGGCTTGTTTTTGTGGGGGTTGAAATCTGTTATGGAATTTGCCAACCATCAGTTTTTCAAAAGGTTCATGGTTATGTGTGTTATCGGTGTCCTGTTTTTTCACACCATCAAGTTTTAGAATGTGATTACAATCCGTCTTTTTTTTTTTGTAAATGTGGTTTACCTTTTTGTTAATTGATTCTCTTTTTTAAAAGAGCATGTTAATTAAATACTTACAAAATTTGATTCTTTACATATACCATTCCAGCAAATAATAGTTTTGTTAATTGGTTTTTTAAATTTACCATTCCAACATTTGAAGGGATATTCCACGAAAAAATTGTTTCTATCTTGATATCATACCTATGGTACAAAAATTGTAGTAAAAAATAGGAAAAATAAAATAAAATTGCTTCTGAACCTTGTGATTACAGATAAAGAGCATACACAGAAGAAATCCTACTACTATGCTTCAAAACCATTATCAAACTTATGCTTTTTAGCGTCATTATTTTCATTATTGAGATTAACATTTATTTGTTGGTTACTTTGTATCCAATTGCAGAAAGTAGTTGTGAAATTGGGTGTACACAACGATAAAGAAAAACAGAGGGCTATGAAAGCAACTTCCAGCCTTGCAGGTTAATATTGTGTTTGTTTTGTTTCCATTCTATTTGCATTTCAGTGCATCAGTTTGACTAAATTTTTTATCCAAATATTTATAGGTCTAGAGCCTAGAAGGATTGCTTTGGTCTCAGTGTATTAGTGAACTGTTTATAGGTTTGTGAATTTTACCCTTTCCCCATACTTCTCCTTCTGCTTCTGTTTCTAGGACTACTGTTTGTGCTAACTTTTTTCTTTCTTTCTTCTTTTTTGTTTTGTTTTCAGGCTTATTACCTGTTAGCGGTTGCTTTTACCATCATTTACAAAAACTAAACAGCATCCTTAGAACATCTCAGGTGTCTAGACCTTATACTATTGGTCACTCATGTCAATTCAGACTACACCATCAACATACAAACTTGGTTCGCTTATAAGACACCATCAACATATCTTCCTGTTAATTATTTGATGTTGACAATCTGTAACTTAACTAGCCATTAAAAAAATAAAGAATATTGCTAACTGTTTCAGATTGTCTGGCCCTAGTGTAGGTTGGAACTTACTGCTGCAGAAAAGGATGGATTTTTCTCTGAGGTAAGTCCCTGAAGTAAATTCATCCTTGTTAAAACTAATTATTATAATTTTTAATTCATAGCTGGAAACTTCATTTTTTTGTGCCTGAAATTAATTGTAATTTGTTGGCTTCAGATAAATATGGCTATTGCTGGGAACCATGGACTAGAAGTGCAGTTCATTGGACTCAGTTTCCTTGAGTCACTGGTATATGTTTCATCATGTTATTGAGTACCAATTTTCATTTATACAAAGTTCTCATGCTAAAAAATAATGTTGCAGGTGTCTGAATTTTCTCCATCATGTTATTGATTATCTTAAGGTTTTTCATTTTGTTTATCATCATCTCATTAAACCATTTCCTATAACAACATATTTTCAGGAGCTGTTTATTTTCTTTTCTCATTATGTCCTGTATGGGTAATGATGTCTCTCTAGATAAAGTATTGTATACATGATGTCTGTTTCCAAACCAAATAAACCGTATGAATGAGACTAAATGACCATTTCACCCTTACATTCAAAAGACAAATAGATTTTTTTGCTTGACCTAATAAGTCATCTGTCTAGTTTAAGTGCTTAACCAATTAAGCTCATTAAGTAAAAAAGAAACACCCCCTAGGTTTTTTTTTTTTTTTGAATGAGGTTTTCTGCTTTGAGTATATAAAGCAGATGGACTGCATGGCATTGCACTAAAATGATTATATATCCCACTTGTATGAAGTTCATACAAGTGTATAAAGAACAAAAGAAACTCAAATGTAAAGGATTTTGAAAGTTGTACATGATTGGACCCTATAAAAATTATCTTTTTGCTAACCAATTTCTCATATTTTATTCTTTTTCTCTGTTAATTCCACATAATTTTTATTGTTGGGCACTGGGGGCTGCACAAAATGTTACTACTAAAATTAAAAATTCTGATGCTTCTGTCTCAGAAGCAAGAGTTTGTACAACTGCACTCCATTTCATGCTTCAAGTTCTTAATTGGGACTTTAGTAGCAGTGGTAGAGTTGCAAAAAATAGCATAGATGTTTATTCCTTTGTTGCTAAAGAAGATACTAACTCCACTTATACACTAGTCCAGGTAATACTTTATTTATTTATTTTGGTTTTGTGTTACATTTGAAAGCAACATGTGCATTTTAGATACAAACTCCACTTATACATAGATGTAATTTTGTGGAATTCCAATTACAGTCTATGACATTTTACCATGAGTATAACTAATATTATACATTTCTTGAAGCCTGTCATTTCTTGCAGATATATTGTTTCATTCACTTAAAGAGACAAGTGAATGAAACTAAGAAGACAAGTGTATAACTAATATTACACATGCAGTCTTTGTTTGGCAGCTTGGACAAACTTGTAGCACCCGATCATTCATGCCACTCTTTGGTAAAACAAACTTATAGTGTACTTCTTCCAATTTCAGTCTTTGTTTCTTGTGCAATTTTATTTTAGGAAATATTTGACTTTATTAAATGTTTAAAGTTACAGGACATGAGTAAGGGCACATCTTGGAAAAATTTAGGGCAGTTGTTGGTCTTCCTCTTGGTAGTCCATCAATGAAGTGGCCAACTTGCATCATGTAATAACATTTTAGGCGAAGATGTAAGTATATATTTGTTTAATGAATAATGTAATCATATGTATGAATATGAAATAAAGCTTGTTATTTAGTATGTGATAATCATGTATAGGCAGAAAACAACTTCTATTGATATGTTTTATCTTTCCAAGGATCGATTATTTGTATGAAATTAAATTTTATGCAATGGATTATATTTTTTGTATATGGTATTTTATTTTATAATATGAGAAGTTAAATGAAAATCTAATTTGAAAATTAGAAAATCTATAAATAATATATTTTTTTTAACTTTTAAAATTACGATAGCAAAAATGTGTGTCGTCTTCATTTACGACATGGCCTTTCTTGACGGGGGCTTTCTTGATACGCATTACGTGTCATTAACACGCGCGTCGTAAGGTTACGACATGCGAATGCGTGTCATCTTCCTTTATGACAGGGCCTTCCTTGATACGCAATGCGTGTCGTAAATGCGCGTCGTCCATAGACGACGCGCAAAAGCGCGTCGTATCTCTTTATGACAGGGCCTTCCTTGACGCGCATTTGCGCGCCGTCTGAGCCTTTTACGACGCGCAATGAGCATCGTAAAAGGCTGTTTTTCTAGTAGTGATTATTTTAAAATTTACGCAAAACATACACTCTACACGTTTTACAAAGTACAAAACTATGTGCCACCTATTTTGCACTAATATCACCACTCTGGTCTTAGGGTTTTAAGACCACAATATTTCGTATGACAGAAAATATAAGATTTTCTGGAAGCATTTCTATAAAATTTCTGAACAAAGTAAATAAAGTATACACATGAAATTACACATGATTTGAAACAAGACTCTCAAACTATTTTTACAGAAAATATGAAATTTTTTGGCGTTTACAAACTATTACAAAGTTTTTCTTATAAATATGCTTATGAACTCACCAACATTTTGTATGTTGACACTTTTCAAAACTACTTGTATTCTTAGGTACACATTGAGGAGGTTTATCAGCCATGGACATTGGAATATGTGTTGTATTTTGGATTATCATACATTATGTTATTTTGGAATGTATTTTCATGAACAAATTTAAAGTTGTAAACAATACATGTTGGTATCCTTAATTTATTATTGTGATTGCTATGTTTCATTCATATTCAATTGTTATGATATTACAAGATGAAGTCATCCGCCCCCGGACGTTTCCGCCGTCCTGGTTCGAGGGTGTGACAGATTGGTATCAGAGCATTGTTTATAGTGAACTAGCATATCTAACCATACAAGATATGCAACTATAAATACAATATGAATATAATAGTATGATAAAAAAAATCATAATAAAATGTCTACATGTGTGTGCATATTAATAATGGTGTCATAATAAGAAACAATTAAAAGTCTTTAGAAGAGTTGGACATCATGGTTAAATCCAGGCCGTTATGTAATCGTATTGGGGATAAATATAGCTTGATCAAATATCCTTATTCAAAATAAGACCAACATATGTTTGGGAGTGATCGGGGTGGACAGCGAATCTAAAATTTGCCAACCTAATGCCCAAAGGATTAAGGAATCGAACACAATAAATTAAAATACTATAGGAGTATTTTGGGCATTGTGTGAAATCTTCATTGTATTTTCTTATATCTCCTTTTGTACTTATATTCTCGTACAGACGACATGGATGGATTCCATTAACCAGGCGACCCTTATTTTCCCAATAAGGAAAATGGAGGTTGGATAAAGGAGGACCCATAGGAAGAGCCCATGGAAGACCCGGAGGAAGAAGAAATTGACGAGGAGGTCAACGAGGATGATGAGGAGGAAGAGGAGGTTGAATCGGACGCTAAGTCCGAAGTCATTGACCCACCCTACATGGCTAGGGTGCTTGCACATCGGATGGGCCCCAATGGCCCTATGCCCCCGTGGGCACAGAACATATGGAGGTAGAGCAGGCACCAAGGGATGCGTCCGCCGTTTGGCATGGATCAGGGATTTATCGAACTCAAACATGGAGGGCCAGCGGACCGAGCCCTTCTGGTGATGGTTAAGCGGACCAAGGATATTGGTGAGCAGTCCCAGGCAACCGCTAATCAGATGGATGCGATGAGGACCGGGGTGGAACGTACAGGACATAGTGTGAGACTACTAGGAGCGGCAGGCCGCACTCGAGGCGAGGATGCGAGTCACACCAGCTAGCCAGAACCCAGGGCACTTCTACTTCGTAATCGGCACCACCAGATACTTCCCGCCGTGAGTAGGACCCATCCTACTCACCAATTCTATTGATGGGACTCTCTTTTCTTTACTATATGTATGTAGGACTAACCCTACGATTAAGTAATTACACTACTCGTAGAGTCATTATGTTGGGAGATTTTTATTCTCTATGTATTGTAGGCCTTGCAAAGGCCAATTTTCATGTATTGTACTAAGAATTTATCATTAATGAAACAGTTATGTGTTTTATTTATGATGTTGTAATCTGTTATGTTCTCTCTTTTCATTTATATTTGATATAATACAGTTCAATTATAAGTACACTCGAACCACCGTAACCGTTAGAAACAAAGGAATTCCTAAACTCATCGTCGTTCATGTCTCATAACAGGAAATGCCAAGAAAGAACATCTTCAAGAACACTACAACACCACCACCGCCGCCACCACAACCAGAGATGAACTCAACTACTTTCCAGGCGGCAGTCTCAACTACGATTACGACAACTTTAGCACATATCAACCAGGGCACTAACGGAGGTGGCAACAGGAATGGAACCGAAAGTTCCAATCACGGTGATCCTCACAGACACCCAAAAACTTAAACTTATAAAGACTTCACCAATGCAAAACCGAAGCCATTTCATGGAAGCGGAAGGGTGATAGCCCTCACTCAGTGGTTCGAGAAAATTGAATCGGTCTTCAAAATCTGCGGCTGTCCCGCCAAGAGCAAGGTGAAGTTTACAGCCCGTATCTTTGCTGACAGGGCTCTTTCGTGGTGGAACAGCCACATCAAGGCTCTATCTCTCCCGTTCGCAAATGTCATGTCATGGGAATGCCTTAAGATCATGATATTGGATGAGTATTGTCCCCGAGGCAAAGTATAAAAGCTCGAACAAGAATTGTGGAACCTAACCGTACAAAACTCCGATATCGAAGAATATATTTCCAGATTAAGTGAGATGACACATTTGTGCCCTGGAATGATAACTTCTGAGGGAAAAAACTTTGAACGCTTTATTTGGGGGTTAACACCTCCAATCCAGGGGAATTTAATTGTTGCTAACCCCTCGACCTTCGATAGTGCCAAACGTCTGACACAAAGTTGTACGACCATGGGGATGGAAAGGGCGCGAAGACTTCCGAAACTGATACAAAGAAGGAGGACAACAACAAGAGCAACCAGGGAAACAAAAGAAAAGGGCGACAAAATCAAGAATCATCTAAGAAGCAACAAACTGTGGCAGTCCACGTTGCTACTAATCAGATCACACCAACTCTAGTTGCACCAGTATCAACCACCCTAACACATGCAAGGCCTTACGCAAGCACCCTACCAAAGTGCAATAAATGTTAATTCCACCACAACGGCGCATGCCGAGACTTACAGTGCACTAACTGCAATCGCAAAGGGTACACCGTCAGGTATTGCATATCTCAGCCCCAACAAAACAACTCTCAACACAACAACGCTGGGGCAAGTTAGGCATGCTACGGGTGTGGAGAGACCGGTCATTATACAGGGAAACTGTCCCAAGGCAAACAATAAAAATGCAGGAGGATCGAATAGGGTCCTTGCTGTGGGTCAAGGAGAGGCAGTGTAGGACCCGGCTGTAGTCACTGGTAAGTTTCTCCTCAACAACATATATGCATGCATTTTATTCGATAGTGGGGCAGAACAAAGTTTCGTGAGTCATAAATTCAAACACTTACTAAATCAAAATCCCCATAAGTTAAAAGAAACCTTCACGGTGGAAATGACTCATGGGAAAACAGAAACAAAAAACAACATTTTCATACGGTGCACGTTAACATTAAATAACCACGCGTTTCAAATAAACTTAATACTGGTTAATATTAGAAGCTTTGATGTGATCATCGGTATGGATTGGTTAAGCTCCCACCATGATGATATTATGTGCCACGAGAAGGCCGTTCGTCATCATCTACCCACCAACGAAACACTAATTATCTACAATGATAAACCCGGTGCAAACCTTCGTCTTATATTGTGCATCAAGGCACAAAAGTGCCTGCATAAAAAGAATCACGCCTTTCTAGCCCACATAGTGGACAAACAGAAGGAGGAAAAGAACATCAAGGACATTCTAGAGGTGTGCGAATTTCCAGACGTATTCTTAGAAGACCTCCCAAGTATACCCCCTGAACGACATGTAGAATTTCGAATTGACCTAGTACCCGGAGCCACACCGGTTGCCAAATCGTCATATAGATTAGCCCCTGCATAAATGCAGGAGTTAGCTAGCCAATTGAGTGAACTGCTAAATAAAGGATTTATAAGACCGAGCTTCTCACCCTGGGGAGCTCCATTGTTGTTTATCAAAAAGAAGGATGGATCTTTCTGAATGTGCATCGATTATCGGGAGTTAAACAAGCTCACTATCAAGAACCGCTACCCTCTTCCTCGGATCGATGATCTATTTGATCAGTTACAAGGAGCTAGTTATTTCTCCAAGATAGATCTAAGGTCCGGGTACCACCAACTGCGGGTCCAAGAAGAAGATATACCCAAGACTGCGTTCTAAACTCGCTACAGATATTTCGAGTTCGTCGTAATGCCCTTCGGTCTAACAAATGCACCCGCAACATATATGGACCTAATGAACCGAGTATGCCAACCATTCCTCGACAAATTTGTAATTGTCTTCATTGATGATATACTCGTTTATTCTCAAAGTAAAGAAGAGCAAGACCAACATCTACGACATGTCTTGGAAAGTCTAAGGGCGGAAAAGCTATACGCAAAATTCTCCAAAT